CTAGGAAGGGGATCCGGTGAGGATCCAAATCCCGGATTTTATACATACTCTGATGAGGCCCTATACTATAGGGTCTTGTTTTCAGACCCATTGGGAGGCCTTGGACCTTATATACGAAGATTATACGATTGTAAAGACCATATGTAGACTAAGGGCATTCATCTATGCACTAACGTTAGACTAAAGGAGAAATCCCACAATGGTATTATGTGCCAAAATCACCTTCAAACAAATTCAAACGCACACAATTCATCGTACATCACAGCAAAGCAGTGAGTTTGATGTGTCTTGTCGTTCCGCTATCAAAATAGTATTATGGGCCAAAATCGAACTCCGAAATAAAAAATTACGTTAAACCTGATTTGTAGCATTAGACACCTCTTTTACAATCGCGTCATCTTCTGTTCTTATCCAATATAATCCGCATTTAACTTGGTCCATCGCACACATGGTTTGACTGCAAAGCAAGTCGAAAGCTTCTCCCACATGCGTGCCTCTTCTCCATGAGTCTTGGACGGTGCATCCAATTTCCTAAGCTTCTTGCATGTATTTTCCTATCAAATTATCCAAAAGGAGGCTGAAAGTGAATATATAAAACATTATCCAAATGGAAAACCTCTGCGACAATTCATAAGCTTGACTATGTAGGTTTGACTTTATGTATGTTTTGATTCGACTATGTACTATGTAGTAGGTTAATTTGTTCTTGAATTTTGGCTAGTAGGTTTACTCAAAGTTGAATGTTCAATTTATTCCAAACAGCCTTGTCGTTGAAGCAATACCCTAGTAAATACTTTTGAGTTTTATACAATTTTGGAGATTTGGGCAAAAGATCTTCCCTCCTTTCCTTGACTTTGTGGTTTCTATACTTTGAACTAAACTATATTCTACCATGAAAAAACGAACTATAGACATATTTTATTTCGTTTTTCTTCTAGCGGAACGCAGAAAAGTATATGCATGGTGATGCAGCAAGAAATTTATAATTAAAGTTGTTTGTACCATACTTGACAAATCCCGAAATTACTGAGCACCGGTCAACGTTATACCATCAAGGACCCAGAAGAGCTTCCCTTCAACCAGGAGGCCAATCACAATGCGACACGTGTCGACATCAGAAGCCAATCACAGATCGACGCGTGTCAACATCAGAAGCCAATCACAACACGACACGTGTCAATGTTAGAACAAAACTAGAAACTCTCCTCTATAAATAGGGATCATTCTCCCACAATAATCTCTAATGTCATTTTGTACTAAACTATTCACTAGAACTCACAAAATGAGAGCTTGAACCTATGTATTTGTGTAAACCCTTCACAATTAATGAGAACTCCTCTACTCCGTGGACGTAGTCGATCTTGGTGAACCACGTACATCTTGTGTTTGCTTCCCTGTCCTTATTCATTTACGTACTTATCTTCACAAGTGATCGAAGCAACCAAGCGAAGGTCACAAACCTGACACTTTCTGTTGTACCAAAGTCCTCGCTGATTTTGTGCATCAACAAAAATGGTTATAAGTGTTTATTAATGCTTGTTAGATCTTGAGTACGAATTTTCATCTCTCAATATTGATGAATTAGAAAGTAAAAAAATACATGATAACGTGTGATAGGTTTATGTAGCATCACAATTTCTTAGTATCTAAGTCAATCTTTAGCCTTGATCTTCCTCCAAGGTTTTACAAGGCACTAGATGCTAATCGGGGGCAGAGGGCTAGCATCTAGGTGGGGGTCTAGACTCTAGACCCGTTTTTTTTTTTTAAATTTTAACTAAATTTATTATACAACGTATAAATAAATGTCTATTTACATGTAGCAAAAATATATAATGGTATGAGAATACATAAATTACAAAATAGAATGACATATAAATTATAAAGCACTTGAATATATTGAAAACATAGGAAACAAACATATAATGAGTGTTTATCTAAGTATCCAACAAGTCTTACAATTTCTTGAAAAAAAAAATACAAAATGAAAGTAATCTATTTTCTGTTTAAGTAAGAGTCACAACCTAAACGGTCTAGAAGCATTTTTTTAAATGCCTAAAATTAATTGTGACGGTGGTCAATCGCAGCTGGATGACTACAAGCATCCACATAATAAGGCACTATTTGTTTAATGTATGGCAACAATATCTTCGCAAACCAACTTAATTTCTAGCCATGGCAATTGTATGGCAACAATATCTTAGCAAACCGACTTAATTTCTAGCCATGGCAATTGTATGGCAACAATATCTTAGCAAACCGACTTAATTTCTAGCCATGGCAATTGGCATCCCCAAAAACCTAACAGAAATCTGATCTAACGAGTATTAGGTAGAGCTAACAAGTAGGTAAGAATGTTTTTTTTCTTTTCTTTTTTGATCGATTAGGTAAGTTGTGGGGGACACGAACCATCTTGTTTTAAAAGTTCTCTTGTTCTTATTCTTTTTCTTGGTTCCTGCTGAAAGAAGCAGTCACGTCACATTTGATTTGGATAGTGTTTCCTAAAAGAAAAACTTGTGTGGGGCTTAATTTTTTATTGGATTTTGTTGAGTGACATTACAATTCATTCAAAACTCGTCAAGCAACAAGTTTTAAATATAATATGTTTCATTCTTTTATATTTGGGACTTAGTTTTTTATTGGATTGTGCTGAATGACATTACAATTCATTCAAAACTCATCACGCAACAAGTTTTAAATATAATATGTTTCATTCTTTTATATTTAAGATTATTATAATTATTTTTTCTCCTAACTGATATACACTATGAGATCAATCTAATAGTTAACCTTGTGCTCTTTTCCCCTTTTGCTTATTCCCAAATGTTCCCTCAGTGTGTTTTTTTTTTCCCGAACTCTTCATTTTCTTCTCTGATCTTCCACTTATCCCTCTCTCCAAGTTTTTTCTCTTGCTTTTCTTAAAAGGAAATCCTAAATCCTAAAAAAATCAAATTCTCCAACTTATATCATGAGAAGCAATTAAAAATGTGTAAGTTTATTTATTTAATTATACAGTAGTTGATTTGATCATGTGAACTTAAAATAAGTACCCCATATATATACATGCATATTAGGGTTAATATGTGTTGACCCTAAAAACTACCAAGCCTACGTGGCGCGCAGACCGAGTAATTAGTAAGTTAACTACGTCATTCGGTTGTATGCAGGGCGTGCCAACGTCAGTCGACCTCAGCCGACGAGTAAAATTTGTTGATGTTGCGTTGGGTGCGCAGCCGACTTTTGCGTCTTGCGATTGCGACCGAGGAAGGAACACATCTCGGCCTCTTGGGTTCTCGAACTTGAAGACAAGGCTTCTATTCTTACGAAGTTCACAAATTGTCGTCGTCGAATTCGGTCACAGTGATGATATTCGTTAGAGTAAACTCACGCCGAATCGACACCAAAGTGTAAGGGCATAAATACTCAAAACGGATATATGTTTTAACAATAAACGTGGTTCGGCCGTCGGAATGTCGAACTCTAAATCCCACTTGAGAGTATCCAATCATAAACTAACTCAGCGTGCAATGTGCCGAGCCTAATAAACTGTAACACCCCACTTCGCCGAGAAGGCTAATGAGATGACCTCGACCAATAAGGATTCGGAAATCCTTTTCGACCGAGACTTGGATAGATAACCAGTCACCCTCGACGCAGTGCTATCTATGCCGACTGAAGATGCTGCGAGACTGGCTGGTTCTACGGTGACAGTGTTATCTATGCTGACTGAAGATATCACCCGTTGCCTTCACAGTACTGTTTATCCAAACTGAAGGTGTGTCGGTGAAAAAAGAAAAGGAAAAAGTCTCAAGGTTGTTGAGAGAATTTGTGCAGGGCAGTTGTGTGTTGAATTGGAGGGGCTTGTTTCGATGTCTTCCCTCCCTATCTATAGCAACCAATCCGTATTGAATCCTATTCATTCTTGGATTAGAAGTCCTTCTCATAATCCATCTTTATCTCAACTAATTCTATTCCTACTAGGACTTTGAGCATAACTCATTATCAAATCGTGTTCAATCTCAGCGTCCTGATCCCGTCGAGACTCCCTCTCATAACAGGATTCGTCCACATTCCTTTTTCCGATAGGATATGATCCACTTCGACCACTTGGCCCATGGGCTGAATAACTTCTGGGCCGAGGATGAATCTATCCTTGGCTTATCCCATTCTGGGCCGAAATAGATCTAACTCGGCCCAAAACAGTATTTTTGGGCCCAAACAATATGTTAGTCTAATTTTGTTTATTTGTTTTCGTTAATATGTTAGTCTAATATTAGGGTTCATATGTTACCCATGAGTCCCGATTTCCCCTCTCTTGGTTGGATCAAGAGCCCTGCACGTTAAAGAAAGCATGCCTTGCGCATTTTAAAGCAGTAGTACAGCTGATAGCGTGATACATAGAAATTATCATTTAGCAACTGAACAAACTTCAAAGTGTGCATATCCCTACACTATAAGCCACCTTACTTCAGCAAGTGAATAAAGATGGGGAAATGAACAAAAAAATGGCGGATGGGAAAGAAGTGAAGCGTCCAGCAAAACACAAACGGATGGAATATTTGAGAAGAAAAAATGGGGAAAAGAATAAAAAGTTAACCATTAGATTGATTGTATATTAATTAATAAGAAAAATAAGTGTGAGAATCTTAAAAAGAATGATAAAAGATTATTTTAAGACTTGTCACGTGACGAGTTTGAGTTTTGAGTGGATTGTAGTGTCACTTATCAAAGTCTAGTAGCAAACTATGCCCCACACAAGTTTTTCTGTATGATGTGACATGTGATGATTGAATTCCTTAAAAAAAATTAAATTATCAAATGCCACATTATGGATTCACAAAATATATGACAGGTGATGATTGGAGTCACAAAATATGTTTCTAATAAGACGGTCTCTCTATCATTTTCCTTGTAATAATGCCAAAGATTTGGTAAATTTGTAAGTGGATCTTTTTGTTAAACTTCATCGTTATAGAACAACCTAAAAAAAAAAAAAACAAACAAACAAAAGGGAAGTCCGTATAAGTAATAGTATAAAACATTATGCATAAAACCATGCGATTGGACTTGTTTATTGACCTCCTTTGGGCCAATAAACTTGCTTATTGAGTTATAACAGGTAATTAGATAACAAAACTTGCAGTGTCTTTACAAATTAAACATGACTTTGATGGCATTGCCTCCACGAGCACTGGTCTCAAAGGCATCTTCCACTTCCTTCTGGGAAAATCCAAAACGGTGAGTAATAAGCGGTTTCACGTCAATCTTCCCGCTTCTTAGAAACTCGATGCAAAGCGGCCATGTGTTCTTGTATCGGAAAATTCCAACCACGTCCACCTCCCTGTGTTCAAACACATCAGAAAGAAAAAAAAAATTAGATGCGACCAAATTTGTTAACTCACACTTTGATTTATAGTGTGCCCTAAATAAATTTGTTGACGTAGAACAAGAAAACGGTCGATCTTTATCCAGAAAGAAAGAAAAATAATACCAAAGTTGTAACGCCCTCCATGACCTAGCAACAATGCCCTAATATATTTGTTGACATAGGACAAGAAGGGGTTGATAAGATGGAAAAATAAGACCAAATTTGCAAACGCACTCCATGACCTAGCTATAACGCCCTAATAAATTTGTTGACTAGGACAAGAAGGGAATCGATCCTTATCGAGAAAAAGATAGGAAAAACAGACACGTAGTGGACAAAATCTATACCTGGCAGCAGCAGGAGTGAGAGGGACAGTCATCATGCTGTGTCCCATTCCGACGAGGCAGACTTTGCCGCCGGGACTAGTCGCGGCGAGAGCTGTCGCCATGGTTTTGTTGAAACCTACACAATCAAAGGTCACATCCACTTCGGATTTCATGGCTTTTTTAATCTTGGCAACTTCGTCATCCAAATCCTCGGCTTTTGTTGAAACTTTGACAGTTTCATCGGCACCAAGAGACTTTGCCATAGCTAGACGCTGATCATCCATGTCCACAATGACAATTCTCGGCGCCCCGAAAGCACGAGCAGATAGCACGGATACCAGCCCGATCGGCCCTGCTCCGATGATGAGAACATTTGTTTCTGGAGTGACATTGGCTCTCCGACAGGCATGAACCCCAACACTCAAGGGCTCACACATTGCCCCTTCCTCCAAGCTAACATTCTCCGGAAGCTTAAAGCACAAGTCCGCAGGATGCACAATCTGTAAAAAGACACGATTATCAAACGGGTTCAAAGTATAAAACACTGTTACACTACAACGTTATGTTCAGATCTTATAATAAAAGTTGAATTTTTGTAGTTGTGCGAATATTTTGCCTGGTTCGCCAAGGAGCCATGAACCGGCGGGGTGGCGAAAAACTTCATGTCCGGGCAAAGATTGTAGCGGCCTCCTTTGCACTGGTGACACTTTGCGCAGCTGATGCCGGGCTCTAATGCCACGCGATCGCCAGAAACCAGATGCTTCACGGCGCTCCCGACTGCGTCTACGATCCCAGCACACTCATGACCAATCACCATTGGCTCCTTAACTTCAAAATCCCCGCACTTCATGGTCTGAAAATTTTCCAAAAATAAAATTTAGAACAAGGGAGGTTACAATCAATAAACATCAAAACGGGGAAATATACATGGAAGGAATAGCAACCTTGAGGTAATGGACGTCGCTTCCACAAATGCCGACGGCTTTGATCTTAATTCGGACATCATTGGGTCCTAAAATTAAAGAAATCCCCAGAAAACAAGGGAGCAAGATGTTAGCCAAAGCGATGATAATTTGACATGAAAACTAAAAACAACAAAAAACAATTGTGGAATCAAAAGATCAATTGTAGTGAGTGAGATAGATGAATACCAAGACTCGGGAGAGTGAAAGCCTGGATCTTGAGGTTGTTAACACCAAGAAGCCATGCAGCCTTGTTTTCTTGTTCGCCATCTTTGGCATCTCCGTTAGTCGACTTGCCTCCCTTCCCCATTGTATTTTTGCTTTTTTCTTTTTCTCTGTGTTTGAAAGAAAAAGATTATTTGTCTGATGGAAAAAAGCGGGCCCTAGCGATAGTATTTATATCAATCCTGTGAAGAAATAAGATCGGTGCTCCTGTAACCTTATAAATCTATACTCTGATTTGGTAAAGTTTCGATTTGCTACGGCTATATATAGTTTTAAAGAGTCCTCATTTAATGCATATCCGTAAACATCCTATCTATTTTTGGATACCCTTCCTTCTGTTACAACATATCCATATTTCACTGAGATTGGGAATTAGTATCTTAGTGGAGAGAAACTCCTAGTTCATCTAGGACTTTTGCATGTGGAGGTATTTCAAACCAATCACATCTATATCTAAAACTGTAGTTGTCTTAACTTTTTCTGCAGGTGAGAAACTCCTTACTCATCTAGGATTCTCGTATGTAAAAGTATTTTAAACCAATTGCGTATTAATCTAATTCTATGGCAAGTGGTCATTTACCACATTGGTGGAAATGTGCTGAGTCATTGCATAACGTTATGGGTTGAACTCCTTCATTGGCTAATCTAACATCTAATCTAACAATATCTATCGCTAGACAAAAAAAAAATCGAATTCTATGGTTTTCTTAACCTTCTCACGTCCCACTTTGTGGTCAAATTGGAGTACTATCGTCACATAACTTCGTATGTGCATGAAATCTGATATGGGGAGCTTAACTTCCTACGTCTCATGAGTAACTAATTTTCAAACTGTCCGAAAGATTTTCGTCTGGATTTAGCGAGTTCGTTGGAATTAGCGGAGTTTTAAGTTGAGTAGAAGATTCGAAAGGGGTCTTTTTACGACTTAAAATAGGATTAACGGATATTATGGAACTGCTAAATGGGTGCCACGTAATGCAGAGTCAGATTAACATAGCAACGGTCCCTATTATTCCTTCATGGTCGACCTCACATGGATAAACAAAAACTAAAACTTAGGTAATCACTAGTAAGTACCTTAAATACTCATTTTATTTTTTTTAATTTTAATCCAATGATATTTTTAACATATGTTTTATTGTTTTAAAAAATAATAAACATGTTAATTAATTTTATTGAATTTTAAAATATAAAAAAACTCATGATATTTTTTTATTGCACTAAAACAAAAAAAAAATCTATTAGCTCGTCACGTCGATTTTATTATGACTTCTTCTTAATTTTCATTTATCGCAATTTTAAATTTTTGCTTAAACACCGATTATGTTATTCCGAGTCACCCATAATCATTTTTAGACGATCCATTATTCTATGAATATTAGTTATGAAATACTTAATTTTGCCAGTGGAAATAAAGTTGGTTGTATCATAATTATATCAAATCATCTGTCTGATTTATTTATTTTAATTTTCGTCGATGTCTCTAATTAATAAAATAAATGATCCACCAATGTGAACTGTTTAACAGAAACGAGTTGACGGGCTCTCTGTGTTGCCGGTGGCTGCCCTAGGTTTCTGCACGCATCAAAGATTAGTGATTAATTTCCACATTAGAAATATGTCCAGAAATTTCTTTGAAGTGCGATTTTAGCCAAGTCAAAGAGGCGTGGTTCGTCACAAATATGAATAATGAGTGCCACGTCAACGTCCAGTCAGACATGCGTTGGCAACATAATATATTTTTGTTTAGACAACTCTGTGGGACAAATTACGTAAGTTAAAACAGACTTGAGTTAAACTAGTTGAATAATACTATATTAGTAAGAGTTTAATCATATTTTTGTGACCTCTTCCGCTTTGGACCCATGATTAAATTAAGGTTTTTTAGCCAAAATGGTCTATGAAATTTTTATAACACATAACTTTGGTCTCTGAGATTTAAAATCAATAGAAATGGTCCATGAGATTGTCCATCATCCATTATTTTGGTCATTCCATTAAAAAACTCTGTTAAGTGGTCCCTGATCTTTTTAATGAAATGACCAAAATGATGGATGATGGACAATCTCATGGACCAAAGTTATGTGTTATGCAAATCTCAAGGATCAAAATTATGTGTTATGCAAATCTCAGGGACCAAAGTTATGTGTTATACCCTCAACTTAACGGACTTTTTTAACAGAATGACCAAAATAATGGATGGTGGACAATCTCAAGGACCACTTCTATTGATTTTAAATCTCAGGGACCAAAGTTATGTGTTATGCAAATCTCAGGGACCATTTTGACTAAAAAAAAGTTGAATATTGCGCAACGAACAAGATTACAAAATAAGAAGAATATTATTAAACAAACGAGAATGCCAAAACGGCTACAAAACCCTAAGAGGCTACATTGTGACTAGCTTATTTTCTAATGAATAACAAAGCACCCTGTTTATAATAAACTAACTTTAATCTCTAACAAAACCTAATTCTAATGGGCTAAGCCCATAAAACCAAACATTCAAATAAACCAAAATACTAATATTTTCCAACACCCCCACTCAAACTCATGGCGGTACACGACATGAGTTTGCCAACAAGCAAATGTGGATGTAAACCTCCAAATTCCAATGCCGATGCCGATGCTGATGCCAATACCAATGCCGATGCCAATGCCGATGCCAATACCAATATCAATGCCAATGCCAATGCCAATGCCAACTTCTGAACAAACATACAAAAAATCCAACCAATTTTTTTTTTCCTTTGCCTGCATGGGCCTCAAACAAGCAACCAATTTTTTCTTGTTTCTTCCTTTTTTTTTCTTTTTTTTTACTCCCTTTTTTTTCCTTTGCAGCAATACAGACTTGCGGATACTCTTGCAGGCTACGGCGTTCAAAGGTGCAAAAGCAGAGTCACGGGACAAAATATGAACGAACAATTTTTTTCTTACGAGCAAACAGATACCAACCCGAAGCAGATTAAATCCCGAAGGGTCAAACCTGCTCTGAAAACAAGTTGAAATTAAGAGTGCGCAATGAACAAGATTACAAAATAATAAGAATATTATTAAACAAACGAGAATGCCAAAACGGCTACAAAACCCTAAGAGACTACATTGTGACTAGCTTATTTTCTAATGAATAACAAAGCACCCTATTTATAATAAACTAACCCTAATATCTAATAAAACCTAATTATAACGGGCTAAACCCATAAAACCAAACATTCAAATAAACCAAAATACTAATATTTTCCAAAAAAAAGAAACCTTAAATTAATAAGGCCTATTGGACATGATAAGGGCTGGTGTTGTTTAACTTTATAAAAATGATAGTTGACCTCGATATGGATGAGGACGACATTGTGGCACGAGGATGAAATTTGCAATATATGGGAATTTAGAGGGTTATTAAATTTACATTTGTAGTTTTTATTATGTTTTTACGTGATAGATATGAGAGTTTTTAGATTTATGTGTGTAATATATCATGTAAGAGAGTCTTTAGTTTGTTTTTAGTCATGTACCTCGGGCGACATCTTAAATAAAGAACTCAATTTGGGAGAATAGCCCATTTGCAATATTTGAACTGCCCATAGAAAATTGATAAAGATTGATAGCGGTTATGTTTAATTTCTAGATGATTAATATTTAAAGTTCTTATAGTTTTATAAGATGAATATTTTGATGACTTAATTATTGATATTAATCCTAAGCTATCGTTTTTCGCCCCCCCCCCCCCCCAAAAAAAAAATCCTAAGCTATCGTAAACTCAACTTGTCAAATACTTTGTTAGCTTCTAAGGACGTGGCAACATATATGACCTACTTTTTTTTTTTTGCTAAAACACTTGTACCAATAAGTTTAATATTCAAAAAATGTTTATATAATCAATTGAAAAAAAAAAAGAAAAAAAAAGAGAGATTGTATTGTCACCTCTTTACATCCGGCTTCACTAACACAAGAATATTAGGGTTTAGAACTTTAGGGTGAAAAAGTAAAAGAAAATGCCTTGGGGTGAAAAAGAGAAAGAAAAAGGATAACTTGCAACTAAAGCAACGAAGGCTTTCATCTTAAATTGCCCGGTTTGGATTGATAAGATATATAGATGCCACGTACAAAATAAATATATAAAGATTGTTCTCAACTGTGTGCTTGTAATACTTACGTATGTTTTAAAGGTGTGCAACTGGGACCTTATGTTAAATAAACACAACTTGTTAAAAAAAATGTCATATTGATTGAAGAACCTCTCGGTATAATGTAACATTACATAGTTCATATTTCTTGAAGGAAATAGTGTAAAATAAAACAATTTACAACTCTGTACATGAACAAGCTTGGGTTCTATCGTACAGCTTCCCCAACAGTAGAAAACAGAACTTTGTCCAAAAAAAAAACTGTAGATAATTTTCACCTAAGATTTCCGAACCATTACAACTTGTCTCAAGGAATCCGAAATTTAGTAACTTAATTTTCTAAAGATTAAACATGACTTTAATGGCGTTACCCCCACGAGCACTGGTTGCAAAGGCTTCTTCCACATCCTTCTCGGTAAATCCAAACCGGTGAGTAATGAGCGGCTTCACGTCGATCTTCCCACTTCTCAAAAAATCGAGGCAAAGTGGCCATGTGTTCCTGTACCGGAAAACTCCAACCACATCAACCTCCCTGGCAGCAGCTGGAGTGAGAGGCACTGTCATCGTGCCGTGTCCCATTCCGACAAGGCAGACTCTGCCGCCGGAGCGAGTGGCCTTGAGACCTGTCGACATGGTCTTACTGAAACCCACACAATCAAAGGTTACATCCACTTCGGATTCCATGGCTTCTTTAATCATGGCAACTTCGTCATCTATATCCTCCATTTTTGTTGAAACTTTTACAGTGCCATCAGCGCCAAGAGACTTTGCCATGGCTAAACGTTGGTCATCCATATCCACGATGACAATTCTTGGTGCCCCAAAAGCACGAGCGGCCAAAACTGAAACGAGACCAATAGGCCCAGCTCCGATGACCAGAACAGTTGTTTCGGGACCAACATTGGCTCGCCGACAAGCATGAACCCCAACACTCAAGGGCTCGCACATTGCCCCTTCCTCCAAGCTCACATTCTCTGGCAGCTTAAAGCATAGATCCGCAGGATGCACAATCTGTTAAACCAAATGGTTATTAGACGGTCTTGATGTTATAGAATTCATGTCACGAAGGTTAAGAAAGTCAAAATTTTATTTATACCTGATTTGCCAAGGAACCATGAACCGGTGGGGTGGCGAAAAACTTCATGTCGGGGCAAAGATTGTACCGCCCTCCTTTGCACTGCTGACACCGAGAGCAACTGATACCGGGCTCAACCGCCACCCGGTCACCAGGCACCAGATGCTTCACCTCGCTCCCAACTTTGTCTACGATGCCAGCACACTCATGTCCGATTACCATTGGCTCCTTGACCTCAAAATTCGCACATTTCATGGTCTTGAGGTAGTGAACATCGCTTCCACAAATGCCGACAGCCTTAATCCAAATCCGGACATCATTGGGTCCTAAAAGTAAGAAATCCCAAGAGAACAGGGGAGCAACATGTTAGCATCCCTACAACGATGAAAACTAAAAACCGAAAAAAAATAACGATGAATTTAAAGGAATGGAGAGAGGTAAATACCGATACTGGGGAGCTCGAAAGGTAGGATCTTGATGGTGTTGACATCAACAAGCCAAGCAGCCATGTTTTCTTGCTCAACAGGTTTGGCTTCCTTAGCCACTCCATTAATCGATTGGCCTCCCTTACCCATAATATTTTTGACACTTGCACTGTGTTTTTTTCTGAAGTGTATTGCTTTCTCTGTTTGCTTTGTGCTGTGTGTGTTTGAAAGACGGAATACGTGTGTTTTTTTTTTTGTTTTTTTTTTATGGAACAAGCTTGGCAAGGGTGTGTATTTATAGCAAACTTGAGAGTCTGATTTGGTCAAGTTGGTTTGTATAAGATTAGGATAATCTAAACCTGAAACATTATCTATTTCTTTTGCAAAAACGAATAAATATTATGGGGGGACATTGGTGGATGTTTCCTAGAAGGAGTGCCTTCACATTTTTACAAACTAAAGACACACATGCAAAATAAGTCATAAAAATTATTGTTTTTCGGTTATGTAAACCAAGAATGTTTTTCTGTAAAAAAGAAAAACACTTATATGAGCTATTTTGTAACTGTTTTTTAATTGATTAAAAACGTTTTTTTAAGAAAATGTTTTTGTAACCAATGTTTTGCAAAAATATAATTGAATCTTGAAGAAACTCTTGAAATGCTTACACAAGAATCGCAGAATTAGTGTGTCTTATTGGAAGCACTTTCGGTGTTTTTCAAACACAACATTTTTTTTAAAACTCATTCGGTCATTTTTAAAACACTTCCAAACGAGCTTTATATATATATTGCAAAGTACTCCATTTCTAATACTGTTTCCAAACATATACGGAAGAAGTCTAAAAAAAAATCCTAGGTCATTGTTTTAGGCCAAGACAGCCCTTTAACGTCAACAAGAAGACTCGCAATGACAGATTGGGGGAGGGATGGGTGTTTTTTTTCTTTCAAGAAACCTGCAACGCAGATCCACCGGCCACACATGGATAGCTATGTCATTTGTCTAATTAGCTCAAAACAATTGTTTGATTTATTTATTTATTTTTCGTCGGTATTTCTTATTAATAAAATAAAATAAAATAATATAATGTCAACGCTTTACAGAAACGAGTTGAGATGGGCTGTCAGTGTTGCCGCTGGATGCTTTTAGGTTTCTTCACGCTTCAAAGATCAGTGACTAATTTCCACGTCAGATACATGTGGTGATAGAGTTGTGCGACTGTTGGCGGTTGCGAAGGTCCAGAAATTTCTCCAAGGAGCAAGTTTGGCCAAGTCAAAATGTCAAATAGGCGTGGGTCGTCACAAAGATATGGATAATGAGTGCCACGGCAACGTCGAGTCAGACACGCGCAGGCAACATATTCGGGTGGGACAAATTATGTTGGTTTAAGACAAACATGAATCAAGCAAGTTGAATAATACAATATATTAATAAGAGTTGTAATCGTAGATTTGTGGCGTCTCCCGCTTTTGACCGGCGATCAAATATGGCCTTTTGGACATGATAATGGCTGGTCTTGTTTTACTTGGTAAAAATGGTTGACGACGACACAGTGTCATATGGATGAAATTTGCAATTTATGGGAATTTAGAGGTTACTAAATTACAATTTTAGTTTTTAGTGCCTTTTTTTTTTTTCAAACATAATAGATAGATAGGGGGGTAGAGAGTTTTATGTGGGGGTGGGCACGGGTCGCGTTAGGACTAAATTGAAGTGATCGGATTAGACTTGTTTTAAAATGTAACGGGATGGACTGGGCTAGGTCCACATGTCTATTTACGTTATTTTTCTATTTATGTTTTTTTTTTTCATAACAGAATATTTAAATTGGTTTTAAGTACCACTGCAACATCTGCTTCTCCTTTGTAAACCTTGCCCTGTACAGAGTCTAATTAGGAGAATAGAATATTGCACACTCCTAATTTAGAAACCCAAGTCACTCTGCAATCCCAACCAAATCACACAAACAGCAAAATTAGCAAATTCCCAGCATCATAATTAAAATTCTTCACAATCCTAAAACAGAACCAAGTATGAAAGACTAAAACTATCACAGGAGATATATAAATAACTACAACAACAACAACAACAAAGCCTTTTCCTATTAAGTGGGGTCGGCTATATGAATCTTAGAACGCCATTGCGCTCAGTTTTGTGTCATGTCCTCCGTTGGATCCAAGTACTCTAAGTCTTTTCTTAGGGTCTCTTCCAAAGTTTTCATAGGTCTTCCTCTACCCCTTCGGCCCTGAACCTCTGCCCTGTGATCACATCTTCGAACCGGAGCGTCAGTAGGCCTTCTTTGCACATGTCCAAACCACCGTAATCGATTTTCTCTCATCTTTCCTTCAATTTCGGCTACTCCTACTTTACCTCGGATATCCTCATTCCTAATCTTATCCTTTCTCGTGTGCCCACACATCCAACGAAGCATCCTCATCTCCACTACACCTACGTGTTGATGCTTCACCGCCCAACATTCTATGCCATACAGCATTGCCGGCCTTATTGCCGTCCTATAAAAATTTCCCTTGAGCTTCAGTGGCCTACGACGGTCACACAACACGCCGGATGCACTCTTCCACTTCATCCATCCAGCTTGTATTCTATGGGTGAGAACGGTCGCTCTTTGGTATTTCCTGATCTCCGATCCTCACCCCTAACTCATTTTGGCCTCCGTTTGCACTGAACTTGCACTCCATATATTCTGTCTTTGATCGGCTTAGGACCATTTAGATTCCAACACTTCTCTCCAAAGGTTAAGCTTCGCGTTTACCCCTTCCTGCGTTTCATCTATCAACACTATATCGTTTGCGAAAAGCATACACCAAAGAATATCATTTTAAATATTAAGTTTATGATCTTCGCTAGATTGCTCCGGTCATTAGTGTGGATAAGTATGTAAATGGATAGAGACAGGAAGCAAACACAAGATGTACGTGGTTCACCCAGATTGGCTACGTCCACGGAGTAAAGGAGTTCTCATTAATTGTGAAGGGTTTACACAGTATATAGGTTCAAGCTCTCCTTTAGTGAGTACAAGTGAATGATTTAGTACAAATGACATTATGAAATATTGTGGAAGAATGATCTCGTAATCACGAAACTTTTAAGTACCGAAGTGTGGTATCGTCTTCACTTGCCTTATCTGTCTCATAGGTAGATGTGGCCTCTTCTTTGGAAGTACTCTTCCTCCATCCAGGGGTGGTATTTTTAACTGGTGGAGATGCACAAGGTAATGTATCAATTTCACTTGACGCTTACTTGTAGTTTCAGGCTTAGTCAAGCGCGATACAAACCATGTAGTAGAAGTCCCCCAAGTCGCCGAGCTAGGGGATCTGCTGAAAGAGGTGACAGACAAGGTAAGTAATCAGAGCTCCAAGCAATCAGTCCCAGATCAGAAGTTTGATTTCGAGTTCCGACTGATTGTTATCCTTCTCCTTATCTTGCAGGTAGCATGAAGGATAAAGAGAAGAAAAAGAGAAAAAGTGATATGAGATACTTTTGCTTTTGAATAAGTAACTTTCCACAGGCTTATTCTTGAACTGGACTGGAGGGTTTTCTTGTTTCCGCCAGAGTATAAGGCCGACTGAAGAATTTGAGGGTCAAAACAAGTCCATCAAATCTAGAGTACGTTCGACCCTGCTGATATGGGATACTTTTGCTATTGACAAAGTAGTGGATGTATCGGCACGTGTTCTGTTGCGCTTGTCTCCACATGCTTGCTTGTATCCTTCTCACTTGCCCTATTTGCTCCTCAGGCAGATGTGGTATCTTCTCGGGAAGCTGAAGATGTTGAAGATGAGTACTCGAGAGTAATGGGGTTCCAGGCAGTCAGTTCCGGACTGGAAGCTTGATTCCAAGTGTTGACTGATTGCTTTCTTTCTCCTTGTCTTGCAGGTAAGAACAAGGCCAAAGGAAAAGACAGGGAAAAAACATGATATGGGATACTCTTGCTTTTAACCCTGATGATATGAGATATTCTTGCTCTAGTGTAGCTTGTTTGCAGAGGTATTCTCGGGGGGAAAGAAAGCTGAGTATTTCGAGAGGCTTCGTTGGGAGTGCCCTCTCAGATATGAGGAAGGGTTGAGCATTTTTGCAGGTCTGCCTGTCCGTTGAGGATGGAGGTCGACATATATAGGAGTCTCCCTAACAAGGAGTAATACTATTTTTTTACCCTGCTTGGTCATAGCACGGTAGTGGGAGCTGCCAGCTTCACGTGTTTTAACTCTGTCAGAGCACTTTGAAAAAGTGGTCTGTAGTATCTGGAAAGCTGATGTTACGTGTGAAGATTACAGATAAGCTTTATCCAAGGAGATCTGGCTCTCGAAGTTGAGAAAGCGATGTGAGGATTACAGACAAGCTTTATCTAAGGGGCTCTCGAAGTTGAGAAAGCGGTGCCTCTTCGATTTTCGAACAAGCAATCCTGTCGGGGATCTGTCTTTCAAGATTCGGAGAATGGTGCCTCTTCGATTTTTGAGAAAGCAATCCTGCTAGGAGTCTGGCTCTCGAGATTCGGAGAGCGGTGTCTCGTCGCTTTTTGAGAAAGTAATCATGATGGGAGTCTGGCTCTCGAGATTCGGAAGACGGTGCCTCTTCGATCTTGAAGCAAGCAATCTTGTTGGGAGTGTTTTCTCGAATGTGAGTAAAGGTTAGGCCTGTTTGCTAGTCTACCTTGCCACGGAGCACAGAGGTTGACCCACAAGGACTTTCCAATTATCCAGCAATGGTCCTGTTCCTTTATCCTTGTGGGTAATAATATGGTAGCTAGACCTTCAAAATTTATGTGTCTAAACTTTGTTAGTGCTGTTTCTTTGCTATTCTTTTACCCTTCTTGGTCATAGCGATGTAATGGGAGCTGCAAGCTTCACGTGTCTAAACTTTGTCATAGATTTTTGGCAAAGTTATCTGTGGTACCCGTGAGCTGATGTTGCGTGTGGAAAGTGAATGATTGAACAGTAACATTCACGTGCTTTCTACTTCACTAGAAATCTTCGACATAATGCCCGTAATTTTCGCAAAGTTGAGTGTGCATGTGACAGGTGCTGACAAGGCTGAAAAAGCAGGTGCCTCTTCGATTTCTGAGATCGGCCCTCGTGGTCTCTGAGCAGCCCAGCTTTTGAGAAAGCAAGCGCCTCTTCGATTTCTGCGATCGACCTTCGTGGACTTTGAGCAGCCCAGCTTTTGAGAAAGCAAACGCCTCTTCGATTCCTGAGATCGGCCCTCGTGGTCTCTAAGCAGCCCAGCTTTTGAGAAAGCAAACGCCTTTTCGATTTCTGAGCAGGCGCC